AACATGAAATGATTTCAAAAACAGAAAAAGTTTTAAACATTTTTATAGTCTATTTATATTAGTTTTTTAATTTTGTATGCCATTAATTTTATTATTTCCAATATTTTCATATACGAAAAAAAAGCTTTTCTCTATAAAATATTTTTATATGATATTTTTGCTCCATAATTTTGTCATATATTTTGAGATATTCGCCTGAGCAAATAAATAATTTTTTTTCTTTTTGTTTTTTTTTTTTTTTTGTATATTTATTTTTATAAAACTTTGACATTGGATTTGTCATTGCTGTTTCGTAGTTGTTGTTGTTGTTGCATTTGTTGTTGTAGCATTTGTTTTTGTCATACGTTACGTATACGTAATATTGTACTCATATTTTTGTTTTACTCTCGCTATGTTGTGCCATGTTTAAATAAGTAAAGCTCGTGAAAATTGCACGCACACATACATGCATAAAAGGAAAATTGTGCTCAGCGACAAAATCTCACGAAATATATAGATATATGTCTGTATATTATATACATATCTATATAACATAAGAATGAGAAAACCTACAAAAAATTGAAGTCTAAAGTGGAATTTTTGTTGTTTGTTTGTCGCGTCGCGTTTTCAACTGTTTTGTTTGTTTTTTATTTTGTCTGCAGTTGATTGTTGTAGTCTGTGTCCATATACAGTCTTTGTTGCAATTACACACACACACGCACACACTGCACACAGAGGGAGGGAGAGAGAGGGAGAGAATTCTATAGCGGCTAAAATTATGTCAAAGGTTTGCTATCTGCCTCTCGCTGTTTTTTTAGCATAAGCCCGCCCAGCTGCTTGCAATTCTTTTATTGAATAAGCATTCATAAAAATTGCACACACACACACACACACATACATACACACACATATATATGCATTTGGCTTGCCTTTTGCTCCTCGCATTTATCCAATAAATTCTGAATTCTGTAAAGCGAAATAGTCACGAATTTTGCTTGTTTGTGTTGTTGTTGTTGTAATTATCGCCTCGTTGAAATGTAACTCTTATGGCACATTGGCACTGATTCATATAATACACGGCAAGAAAAAACGTGCTAACATGCGCACAAAAATCAATTTACTCTAGCATCCAAAAATATTTAGAGAAATTCATTTGATTTGGCAATTATCTAAATGAGTTTATCTAAAGACTTTGGTATTATATTTATGCTTGGCTATAAAAATATATATGCATCGATACTTTTTATGAAATAGCAGATTTTTATGGATTTTATAGAAATTTCTGTATTTATAGCATTTGATATTTTACGATATTTTTTGTTGAAATGCGCAGATCGAAAGCTCATTAGGTTTTACTCTTTACGATAAACCAAATGACAATTTAGTTACCTATATATATAATATATAGCATTCATAGGAATTTTATGCGTATTTCCGTTTTGATTTTCGAATACGTTTTTTTTGATTCACCATTTTATATTTTGAGGTTCTTCAAGGTAATTTTCTATCGAGGTATTTTAGGCATTTGCCAAGATTTTTCCAATCCAATTATTATTTTTGGTCTTCTTCATTGCATTTTACCTCTTGTCAATCTGAATCGAGTGCTGCTGCAATTGCAGCTTGGAAAACGAGTTTCAATTCACAATCTGGCTGGCAAGTTTACAATCAGCTTTTAATCAGCTGAACAAATGTTGCCGTGGGTTTGAGTTTGTTTTCACGATGACAAGACGACGTATTGATAAGATGTTTGTACTTTTATTTGTTTTTGGTGTTGGAGACGTTTGTCAAGATTACGCCCACTCTATGAAACGCAAACACACACACACCCACATACACACACATATACGATTGTAATTTAGTTTTGCGTCAGTAACTCAATTTGCAATGCGAAATCGATTTCCGCTTAAATTGTCGCCAAAAGCTGACACAGCGCAAATGGAAAATGCAGAAAATGACGATAGTTGTAAAGTGGAAGGGGTAGACGACAGACAGAGAGACAGAGAGAGAGAGAGAGTAAGTGAATGAGAGAGTTAAAGTGGTTGGGCAGTAAAGCTTCGTGGCCAGGGTCTAGAGCCAAGGCCAGGTCCAGGGACAGGGCCAGTGCCAGTGCCAGGGCTAGTTGGCTGGGCGCCGACTCCGCTGCTGCACAAAAGGTCAGGGTCAAATGTGCCATCAACAAAGTTGCACTCTGCCAGAGGGAGAGGCCAACACCGAGAGAGAGAGAGAGAGAGAGAGAAGGAGATAACGAGAGAGTGAGCGTGTGGGAAGCTCATGTCAACAGGCGACTTTGACTTGTCAGCTTTGCGGCCGAGGCGCCGCCTTTTACGGCTGCTGCTGTTAATGTTGCCTCATTTTGTGGCATTTGTATGCGCGGCATTTGCGTTGATTGATTTATTCGCCTGCTGCGTTGTGACATCGCATATCAACTGGCAAGCTTCCCAAGAGCTTCGCTTATACGCACACTCGACACACACACACAAACACATGTACAATACCTCAAAGGGGTATATTCATTCATTTAATCATATACCTGGCACTTGGCATTTACATATACACATACATTCAGGTGTGAGTATCGACTGCTAAAGATGTTAGGTTAGAGGTTAGCTAAGTGCCTTGCAATTATAGTCTATTAGCAACTTGTCTGATAGCTCGACCTTTGTTACACACACATGCATACATACTTGTGTCAGATCTCTAGAAACTTGAGAGGCTGCTTTACAAACTTTCTTACAGTTTGACAAGCACTGCTTGGGGCTTAAAATTCAAGCCATATTTCTTACATTTTAGTAACTATGCTAAAGTCTCGTAAGACTTTCATTGCCTGAACTCCACTTAACTGTAAAGGCAGCCACAGTATTGTGCAGTCGAGCATACCCGTTGAGCACATTTACAATCGCTTTTACTATTGGCCTAGAATAACATCCTTATCAGCGGCATTCCATGATCATCTAACAAATTGCTGCGAGTTGCTGCTCAATCGCATTTTCTGTTTACCCCGCAAATCAATTCGATTTGGTTTTTTTTGGTTTTTTTTATTTTAACGTGATTCTTCAAACGCTTTTGTTTAGATAATTAAAAGTTTATGGATTCCGTCCATTTCGTATTTGCTTTGCCGGTTGTTTATTGACAGCGTATCTCGAGTTGTTTATTTGCAGTAGATTGCTGGGGATAGGATGTTTTGTAGAATACCATAAACTGTTATAAGCGATTTGTAATGAGACTGAATAGACGCTAAATGTCTTATCTAGCTGTAAGGCGCCATTATACTTAGTGATAATCACTCTATTATAGCTAGTTTGTAGTTAATTACTATAAATTCTGCTGTTATACAAGTGTTATATCGCTTGTATTTTGCCCATAACTGTTATATATCTGTTATACACTCGTGTTTCAACTGTTGAACTTATTTTGTAACTGCTGTACTCATTAATACAAGGCTTTAAAGAGAATGTTTAAATTTGATACTGTTATACAGTCATAATATAGCTAATACGTCATTTGCCACTTATTCATTTGTCTGCTATACTGTCTCAAATACCTTTTACAAGTCTGTTAAAATGTCACCTTCAAGTAAAAAGCTGTTATACATGACTAATCTAGGCTTAATTGAAAGTAGACAAATTAGCTAGTAATACATGTGAAGTCTACGAGTCTACCTAATCTAAACTTATGTTATCATCCGTATGACAAAAATGCACTCAGCACTGTTATACAGCATATGCAATTACTTAGCGGCACAAACTGCAATATGGCAATTTATGTTATACACAGTCAATTAACAGTCATTCGCCCTTTGACACAAAGTAGAGCAACTATTGCTCTCTCTCTCGCTCTCGCGGCACTTAAATGCAACTTAATCTGCGCGCTGTGCATTCGGTTGACGTCAGCCGCTGCCAGCAGTTATTAAAAGCTGCCGAGATGAACATCAGTTGTTTTTGCTTTTATCCCGAATGCAATGTACGAATGCAATTTGCTAGCTGCATCAGCAGCAGCAGCCGAGCGGGGTGGTAGAGGCGTTGAGCAAGCTGCTGCGTGATTTGTTCCATTTGTCGCAAGCGAACTTTGAGCTACCAAAAATAGATAAACGAGCAGCTGGAATCGGGACTGGGGCGACGCTGCTGAAGCTTTGCTGCTCGCCCACATCAAACTGACTTTTGACATATAGCAGCAAAAGTCGGCAAACACACCACCCCCCCGCCCACTAAGTGACGCAAATAGCTGGAGTTGCAGCAGCTGCTGTAATACGATTCCTGTGGGCGGCATGAAGTGTAAAATGGCTGAATTTACCTAGTTTCAATGTCATATATTGCTTAAGGTCGTTGTAGTTGAACTGTTATACTGTTATACGAAATCATACTGTCTTTTGTATACAGCGAAACGATAGGGCTATTTGATAAATTATCCAATTATATTACATTCTCTTGCATAAACTGTTATACACTTTAGTACAATCTTATCTGATGTGGTATACATTGTTATACTGTTTACAAACTGCCGCCAAAGCTAAAAAGTTGTCCATATAAATAGAACACTGCCTCACCAAAGCTGTTATACTGTCAAACTGTTATAATGATGCAATTTCATTCAATTTGTTGCAGGAACAAGTCAAACTGGATGCCAGCAAACAGGTGATCAGCCCAGACGATTGTGAGGATCTCAGTCCAATGCCACAAACAGCTGCACCGCCCGTTCGCCGGCGCGGCGGCATCTCCGCCGAGCCGGTGACCGAAGAGGACGCCACCAACTATGTTAAAAAAGTCGTACCCAAGGATTACAAGACAATGAATGCCCTGTCCAAGGCCATAGCCAAAAATGTGCTCTTCGCCCATTTGGATGAGAGCGAACGCTCCGACATATTCGATGCCATGTTCCCGGTGAACCATACGGCTGGCGAGAATATCATACAGCAGGGCGACGAGGGCGACAATTTCTATGTCATCGATGTGGGCGAGGTGGAGGTGAGTAGCCATGACAATGCGAGAGGGGGAGAGAGCGAGTATTTACTGTTATACTTGTATTTTAGGTCTTTGTGAACTCTGAACTGGTGACCACCATCAGCGAGGGCGGCAGCTTCGGTGAGCTGGCTCTCATCTATGGCACACCACGTGCCGCCACGGTGCGCGCCAAGACCGATGTCAAGCTGTGGGGCATCGATCGCGATAGCTATAGACGCATCCTGATGGGCTCAACCATACGCAAGCGTAAGATGTACGAGGAGTTCCTGTCGCGTGTCTCCATACTGGAGAGCCTGGACAAGTGGGAGCGGCTCACCGTTGCCGATTCCCTGGAGACGTGCTCCTTTGAGGACGGCGAAACGATTGTCAAACAGGGCGCAGCCGGCGACGACTTCTACATCATACTCGAGGGCTGTGCCGTTGTCCTGCAACAGCGCTCCGAGGTGAGTGTCCTGCGGGCATAGCCCAGACACAAATTGATGGCATACTAATCCATTGTTTCATTCTAGCAGGGCGAGGAGCCCGCCGAGGTGGGTCGCCTGGGCTCCAGCGATTACTTTGGCGAGATTGCCCTGCTCCTGGACCGGCCACGCGCAGCAACTGTTGTCGCTCGCGGCCCGCTCAAATGTGTCAAGCTGGACAGAGCGAGGTAAACAGTGGTTGATTGATTGCTAGATAATTGATTAATGTAGAGTCCAAAATGTAAAATTGCTATTAGACGTCATGTAGTTTAGTGCTTCATTTTAAATTATAAATATTTGTAGTCTAGTCTGTCATGATTGATAATTGATGACTGCCCGAAGGCTATTAAAGCTAGGAGACTAAACTGTTATAATTATTTGCAGTGACTGATTGACTCACTAATGTTTAATGCACATTAATTGCTTAAATTTCTGTACTCAGTCAGAATTATAATTATATACAGTGTAGCATTATTGCCCTCCAATGAAGATTTTGATTTAATATGTATATTAATACGAAGTAACTATGTGGTATATGAGAAGTATTTGATGTGGTCGGTAGTAGAAAAATAGATACGAAGAACTTTAAGTTGGTTATGTCAAGAGCCATGTTTATACATACATATATAAGCAATCCAACTAATATAAACTAAACACTTTCACTTTTCTTTTTAGATTTGAACGCGTTTTGGGACCCTGTGCGGATATTCTGAAGCGCAACATAACGCAGTATAACAGTTTCGTTTCACTGTCCGTCTAAGCCGGTCCAGCATCAACAACAACAAACATACTACATCAACAACAACAACAACGCAGCTCGCATGCCAACAACAACAAACAAATCGCTCAGCATAAAAAAAAAAAACAAAAAATATTTTTAAATTAAAAAAAAAAAAACGAAACTGAAAATGTTTAAAAGAAATACCCATGTAAAGCCCTATACTAAAAACAAAAACAAAGAAAACCAAGAGAGAAGATATGCAGATTGAGTTGAGCTCAGCTGTGTAGAGAGGAAGAGAAGGAGAGAGAGAGAGAGAGAGCGGCGTAGGGGTTGCAGGGGGAGTAATCTGGGGGTGGGGGTTGGGGCTACAAATATGTTAAATTACGTATATGAATTCTGTATGTTGTGCAATGAACAGTTACATATGTATTTGTGTAATGTGTGTGTTAATTTTTTGGTGTACACAAGTTGCGGCATGTTCCCCAGCAACAACAACTACAACAACAAACCTAAACAAAGTAAAACCTTCCACAACTCGTCGCACTGAGCTGTTCAAAACTTAAAAAGAAAACTGATAAACCAAAAAGGAAAAAAAAAACAAACAACAAATATATAGAAATGCATTTCATATAACACTTTTTCTACGAGTACTGGTTGACATACATATATGTATAAATATATATATATATTTCTTAATAGCGGAACATGCTGCCAGAAAAAAAAAAAACAATCTCATTAAAAATAATCATTGGAGATCTGAATGTTTTTTACAATAAAAAAAATACAATTACAAATTTATAACAAAAAATAAAAGAAAAACATATTATATACAAAAGCTCTACCACACATACACACACACACACCCGCATACTGAGTAAAACCTATACAAAAATTATAGTTTAAACTCAAATATTATTCTATATAATTTATTTTGATTTGTTGCACAAAAGCCGAATTGTTCATAATATTAGTAAATTATTGTTTTAATATTGAAAAAAAAAAAAAAAAAAAAATCACAAAAAAAAAAAAAAAAACAATTTAAAATAATCACATATTTTTTAATTCATTAAATTGAAATTTCGTGTTTTGTTTAGCTTATGTGAACTATGTTATACACACACATATTTACATTCATTTCAAACTGTTATACTCTGTTATAAATGCGCCGCATAACCAAATGGCATTTTTTCTAACAACTGCCACCAACAAAAAAAAAGTAAACAAAAAAATAATAACAAAAACTCAAGGAAAACACAAGAAATTGTAAACTTAAAAAAAAGTATGAAAGAATCATACAGCGCTTGCGTGTGTGTGTGTTCTTGTGCGTCTGCCACACACACACATATGCACGCAGGCGCAGGAAGGAATTTGTTTGTTTTGAGAGAGAGAGAGAGAGAGAGAGAGGCAAGCCACGCCCCCGCGCCGCAGAGCGCGTGCGAGAGCGAGTAAACCCGCCGGCGGGTTAGACTGGAGAGAGCGAGAGCTAGAGAGCGACAGAAGTGCGTAAGCATTGAGCGCATGTGAGCAAAACAAAAAGCTAAATGCTATGAAAACGCTGATGGCAGATAATGCGAGCAGAGCCACTGCGAGTGCGAGCGAGACAGCGCATATAATTTAAACTAACTAAAACTAAAAAATTATTATCAATGTAAAATCGTATGTACCATATAAAGAGTAAAAAACTAACAAAAACAAAAACAAACAGACAAAAAAAAAAAAAAAAAAAAAAAAGAAAAAGAAAGAAACGTAATAAATACATTTACATAGATGTTGCAAAAACAAAAATGAAAAGTAAAAAGAAACAACAAATTGTATCCATTAGATTTTATTTAGTTTATATTTTCGGAAATGCCTTTACACAAAATTCTCACCCAATAATTTTATATGAAAAAATATTTATATACGGGGATAGAGGGACAGAGTGCGAGAGAGAGAGAGGCGGAATCCAAGCAGCCCACTGCTCTAATGTTGCTGGACGCCATCATTTGGTTACCCACCCTGTTCACCTACATATTGTTCCTGCTCATACTGATCATACTGTTCTTCATTGTCGCCTATGTCAGCCACAAGATCTACATATCCATCTATGATAATCTGCCACTGCCAGCGGCGCCCGGGTCGCGCTACTCCCTCTCCATATCGCCGCATCGTGTGCAATCGACACGCTCCGAGCCGTTGAGCGCACGCTCCGTTTGGATACAGAATCGCTCACAGATCTACGAATCGTCAGTGGGTAAGTTGGGAAGATATACAAATATATGCATATATATATAGAGTGGGAGAGGTGGTCTGCCTGCAGTTCGCATTACACTCACGTTGGAGGCCTGCTACCTGGTCAGCGTCGAGCTGGACATCTATAAGAATCCCGCCCAGCGTGCCATTAGCTTCATGTGCAACTGCAAGGCGAACGTCAACAATTGTGCCGCAGTCGCTCCCAGAGCGGCGGACAGTGTGCGYGTGCTCAAGTACTACGATCAYCTGTCCCGGGTGCCACGCCTYAAGGTTCTGCTGCGCTGCAATGAGCGCAAGAATATGCGCCTGGTGCTCGACGACGTCATCAAGGATGTGATGGAGACGCATTCCACGGATCAAGCTGCGGCCTGCCCGGCGCCCTGCACAGGGTCCAGCAGGCAGAGGCGAGGCGACGACRCAAGTAACTGAACAAGCAATGCCAACTATGTGTGCGAGCGAGAGAGCTRCTGTAAAGCTCGGGCSGGAGCTCTCTATGTGTGTGTGCGTGTGTGGGTGTGTGCGTGCGTGACGGGAGACACTGGGCACAATGGGCTCGCTTGGATTTCAAATTAGCGCTTTATATTTTAATAATTTTTTGATAGAACTTGTTTTGGTCTTTATTATATTGTATTGTATCTCATGCATGGTGGGCGTGGCAGTGTGGCCATGCCTACAGTTGAACGGAAATCAAGAGATTTATAAAAGATATATGTATATATGGATGTTTTTATATTTGATTGCAAACAGGTTTTAGCTGCTGTCTTAATTTATGATACAAATTGTTTGTTTTTTTTTTTTCTTTTTCAGTCGACTTAAATTTTTGTATTTGATTGAAGATTATTTGAAGTGAAAGTGTTTCTATGTTGAAAAGAGTTTATGTTGGATTCCAGGGATTGCATTATGAACGTACGTGCTACAAAACCCGTAGAGGTAACTTTTGGTAAGTCTCCCTAGGGAGTCTGCACTATAAAACCTCTTAAGTTCTAGCTTTAAGAGAGGTTTTTACCAATCGCACTGCTCTCTTAGTACATATCTCATTATATTAGGTATCTTGGGTTATTAAGCAGTTTTAATGCACTCGAATAGGTCTTCTGCTGTATCTAAAAGTATTCATAAATTTTTAAACAATTTTCTGCAACTTGAAGAAATGGAAGGTAATAAATATTCCTTAAATTCATTTATCTATAGCCATAAAATAAATTTACTTAATATCTCAGATATGAAATCAAAATTCTCATAGCTTCTTTCTCGAGTGGCAAACGTGCTCAGACAGTTCTCTGTCTGAACGAAATGCCGCCCGACAATCGTATGTTGGCTGTATGTTTTGTTTTTGGACTTAAACACACCAAAATTAGTGATATCTTATCTCATTTTGCTGTCTATAAACGTTTTTATCAGGTAAGTCGCAGCCAGCGTCTGGTCAAATAAATTTGTCTATTCCCCCCCCTCGAATCGGCTACGCAATTTTAATTGCCAGTTATTAAATTCGCTCGCTCCCTCTCTCGTTTGATTCATGTGATAAAGCAGAAGAATATATATGTATATATATATACATATATAGGAATATACGTATGTATGCTCATAAATATATATATTCATACAAGTTGTAGATTTTATTACTTGATTGGCTGAATCTATGAATTTGTTTTGGCATTCAATTGTTTGATATATAAAATAAATGTATTTATAAGTATACCCTGTTGCTGGAAAACTAGCTGGAAGAGGTATATTATACTAAACTGTTGAAGCAACGTTTCTATAGTATAGTATAGTAACCATTATATAATAAAGTCATCGATAACATATTTATCTATGTATGTTATCTCTTAATATTTCTCAAGCCTTTGTAAGCATTCATAGCTCTACATATTAGAATTAGTTAGTTTCCCAATTTGTTCTGCACTTGTCTATAAATCTTACGACCTTAAGTGCGGGCATTACCCACTCATCATACTTAAATTTTGAAACGATAAGAAAAATCTTATCACTTCATTTCACTTCACCGATAAAGGTCGTTGGTATATCTAAGAAATTTATTAAGCATGCCTATGTGTACGTTTATACATATACACTTACATTCGTGTTTAGGTGGTCTGACATAGTTTCTTATGCCTTGCTTTCATATACGACAACATATGCATTGTCTATATCGTATTATACATATACGATGTATGTATGTATATATGTATACCTATGCCGCCCGATACGCTATATCGATACGCTCTGTAGATAGTCGAGGCATAATACATAATACGACATCGAATAGTAGCAATACTTGAGGAACTGAGTTTTTAGTACACATTTATATAACTAATATAGTATTAAAATCATTTCCATAGCAGACTTGATTCGAGCTCAAGGGTATTTAACCGTCGATCGGAAGTCAAAGTTAAAAGACTTTTAATTATGGAATGACAAGCACATTTATTTTGGCTTCTCAGCTTTATATACATACATATATACAAATATGTACATACAAGTATGTCCCCAAATTTTAATAGCTTTATCCAAAATTCATACAGATATATGTATATATCCGTAAAGATCTTAATGAATCCAAAATAAATGCAATGAGCTAATGGCAGACTCTGATATATACACTCAGACTAACGACTTAAGATCAGAGATCAACTTCGGTATATAGAAAAACTAAGATCAGAGATCAAAATTATTAAATATAATAAATATTTATATATAGATCATTGAATGCAGCAGACTTCTATGAAAGCTCTAGATGCTCAGATGCAACGCATTTCCAGATACATATAGCTGTTCTATATATAACTCACGCGTCTCCATTCTGTATATATGTATATAGATGGACACAGTTATACATACATACATGTAAAGTACCGAGTGCAGTATCCATTATAATTATACTCTTATGATAATGATATCTAAAGCAATGAAATCGGGCGCACTTTGTACCCGTCTGTATAGAGTATCCAAATGTCAAGCGACTYTCTCGGCCTAGAACCAATTCCAACTAGTTTTGTAGCTGAAATAAGAACTATACAAATATTTATATATATATATAAACCGGGTGATTGGATGCGAAACACTTCAAACTGACCCTGGTTAATGTAAGAAGCGCGCTGCCCCGAACTCTGCCCCTGCCCCTGCCCCAGAGCGATCCATAAACAAGTTTCGATTTATCATACAAAATAGAGAATAAGAGCGAGAGAGAGAGAGAGAGAGCGGCAAATACAGAGAGAGCGAAGCCACGTTCTACGCGGCGTATACGTAACGACAAAGTTCTATACGAAGTTCGACAAACGCGCGGGCCAGTTGAGGCGCAGGTGTCAATGCATACAGTACAGCGAGTCGGCAGCAGCGACAAACAGCTGAATCAAACAGAAATATATAGAAGTATACACGCATATATGTATATGTGCGTGTCTGTGTAAATGGACGTGTATATGTATATATAGACGTGTGCGCGACATTTAATTAGCATACGCGTTTCACTTCAGTTCGCTCCCTCTCTCTCACTCTCTCTCTGTGTATCTCGGGTCTTTGCTTAGCTTGTCAGACAGAGAGAAAAAAGCAAAAGCAAAGCAAAAGCAAAAGCAAAACAAACATAGAACTCAAAAGTTATTTCTTGTTTTGGAAACTATTTCGACATAATGCTGGATCCCATATCGGACACGCCGCTGGTGCTGGCCTACGCGTTCATGTCGCTGCTGGTGCTGATCGTTAGCTTCATCATATTCAATGTGGTGCACAAGCTCTATCGCAGCATGGGCGTCGTTGACGATGGGGGCGTGTCGAGCAGCTCGCTGAAGACAACTATGTTGGAGGTGGATGTCATGAAAACCGGTTAACACAATCACAATCACAAACAACAACCAGAACATCAACGAGAACAACAACCATCACGATGAACGCTGCTAAACGGGAATCTCGCTTGTGGATCAGATTAGCTGCAAACATACTGTACATAAAAGATAATTATTTAGTCTAGCTGTAAACGTAGTACCTATATGCATACACATACATATTCCAGTGGAGACGACGCGGATCTGTCTAGTCAGTTAATTAGCCATAGCTTAAAATAATAATTAAACGCCTCGACGTTGATATTGTAAATAAACTACAAACATCTACAAATATAACGCATTGTGTTGGCCAAGTGCAAAGCAATTCGTGTTGTGTGGCCTGATCGTACCTTATCATCAAAACTTGTTATCTGACTGTGCAATCAATAATTTTGACTGTGACTTTGATTGGAATGCGCATTAGTCATTGATTTATACATTAGTGTTCTTTTTTTATTTAATTTAAAATAGCATGTTTCCATCTATATTTTAGCAGTTTCTCTGCTTTAGTGGCTGCTGCTGCTGCTACTGCTACGGCTCCTGCTCATACTGCTGATGCTGCTGCTCCAGCTGCTGCTACTTTTACTGCTGGTTTCCTCCTTTGCTCAATCCGTGGGATCGCTGTGAATGGAATTTGAATTTTGATTGTTGATGTTTTCTTGATTGTCTTGATTTCTTGTCTTGCTTACCCCGAGTAGGTTTTGGGATGCTGCGACGCCAAGTCGTCGTCCTGGCTGCCCAGCGATTTTTTCACATACTGCAAAGATTTTACGATTTTCAATTGTAGTAAATAATATATTTGAATGAAATGTTGTTCAGCTTTTACCATGGGATTCAGTATAATCTCCTCCTCCATTTTATTGATTTGTTTAACCAAATCGAGCACCTGCGTTATATTCGTTTGCACATTGAGAAACATGTCGGGCAGATTATACTGCTCTGGATCATCCTTGAAGAGCACCATGCCATCCTTTTGATTAATGCTGGCAAAGATTTCGCCCGATTTTATCTGGCAGAGCACGAGATAGAGGTATGAAGTACATGTGGCATATACTACACATTATAAAACAAACCATATTTAAGATATAGCGCTCAGCTTCCGCCGCACTTGGCAATTGGACACGGCTGGCCACGTCGCTCAGCGACAGCGTGAGAAAGGTCTTTGTCAAACGTTGTATATTTCGTTTATAGAGAGACGTCGCCACCTGTTTGGCTAGGCCCATATTATTATCACGCGTAAATGCTTCACTGTATTTGAGTATTATAATGCGCAGCTCTTCGCTCGACGAATTGCCATACACATTGACCAGRTCATGATAGTGACTTGCCAGCGGCTTCATAAAACGTCCTATGACCTGTGTGTTCTTTGGTATATACGCTATCTGCAACAGGCAATTCTCATTATTCGAGCATAGTTGAAAGCGTAATTGATTGCCTCACCTTGCCCTCCACAATCAATGAAACCATTAGAAACTTTTTGTATGCCTCCAGCATAATGTGCGACATGGCCATCGCTGGCGTCGTGATGCAGACCTCAAAGAAGTAGAGAGCACGCTCATAGTTCTTAATGGCCGTATAGATCATGCCGCCATAATAATARTAGAGCAAAAAGTACTTCGCATCGTTGTTGGCATCCTAGAGGAAAGCAGAGACAAAATTTATAATTATTTCTCATATAAAATCGAGCAGGAGACATACGAGCGTATGCTGCGGCTGCTGTTGCTGTTGATTTTTGCACTCGGCTGCTACGGTGGAAATATCTGTTATATCCGTATCCAAATAAGGCAGTATTAGATTAAAGTTTTTCGCCTTCAGGCTCAACTGGCAGAGATCGGCGTGTATGGGCGTTAGCTGTGTCTCCATTTGTCGTATTTGGTCGATGGCCAGCGAGAGCACTTTAATGCCCAAAATGCTTAAGTTGTGCTGCACCAAGAAGTCCGTAAACAAATGGCAAGTCTCATAGACTAGAAAGCAGATTAGATTAAAAATGTATAGAGCTGAGACGCAGAGTACACTTACATGGGCACACGGCATAGCGCAGTTGGTCCAAATTGCTGCGCTGCACAAATTCACGCATCAATTCAATAATTTGCATTGGTTCTGGATTGGCAGTCGCCGCGCTGTGCAGTTTGCCGAGCAGCACGTAGAGGACGCCCAGTGTATGCTGTTGCATGTCCAGTGTCTCGAGCACATTGTCCAATATGCTCCAGTTGCGCACCAGCAGTGACAGCGATTCGGGCAACTCATCCGCCAGCTCACGATAACTGCCTGCATATAAGAAATGTATATACAAATATATACACATATATATGTATGCATATAATTATCATTTTTTCTGGTGTGCGAAATTTCTTTCTCTGCCGGCACTTACCCGCTGCGCTTAGCGTGCGCACCTGATTCACGTAGTTTTCCAGCGCACTCCCCATTTTTGCTTTTTATTCTTGCAACTGTGTATGTAGTCCGAGACTATGGCTTTACTACAGTTATTTTTTATCGCTAAGAACTAATAAATTAAACAAAATAAAATATTTTATACGCGTTCGCGTTTTTCCTGTTAACAGTGTGACCGTAAACTGTAAGAGTTCACACGCCGAAAACACGACTCGCTGTAGGTACTATTCTGAAAGGTGGCAACATTATTTTTATTAACAGCACTGAAGTTCTTTTCGAAGATCTACGATAGCTTATAGAGATATGAGCTTTTACTTAAATGTTTTTATTAGGTGAAAACCACTAGAGTTTTGTTAATATTATAGTTATTTTTTTAATTATTAAGGTCTTAACTTTTTTAGCGCGTATCTGTTCGTTTTAAGGCTGGTAATAACAGTTAAGCAACTAGTTAAGTGCTGTTTTTGAACAGCTAGCCGTTGACTCTTAACAGCTCTGTCAACAGAACAACTCTCGCTCCTTTGCTTATCAAGCCCAACAGAGATGCTGTTAAATTCAAATTTTAGCACTATAAAACTGTTAAAAACATATCAGCAAACTGTTAACAGGCAGCGCCGTTAAGAAAACAGCTGATAGTTGAGTGTTAAGATGAAATTGTGGTTTTAAGAAGTGTTTTGCTTGAAATGGAGTTGCCTGCACGCATTGTTTATGTTTGTAGTTTATGTTTGCGGCAATATGATTTACTGGAAGATCTGCGTGGCCACATGATGTTATATCACGACTGTCAGCCCATCAAAACGGCGAACAAGAAAACACAGTATACGGATGCAAGTCGAGAGTCCTTGACGCCGCCTCCTCCTGCGGAACTGCAGCCGCTGCCCTTCAAAGACTTTCGCATTGTGCTGCGTGCCAAGCAACAAGTGAAGTATGTAGCTAGCTTTATATGAATATATCCATATTTAATGCACTTGTTGCAGTTGTACCTGTTGCATCTATAAATTTGAGAGCCATCAGAAGTTGTCGCTGCACGCCAAATGCCACAAGGACTCGGGCTTCAGTTGCAGTGAGTGCGGTCAGGATATGCCCAATTGGCGACGGTGTTCGCTGCATTTGTGGCGCATGCATCACCTAGATGTGGATCTATTGGAATGCCCCGTTCTCGGCTGCGATTATAAATCTCCCATTGCGGCGCTCGTCTGGCGACACATGCGCGTCCACAAAAACTGGCGAAGCCGAGTCATGCGGCGTGAGCTGCTGCGTCGACGTGCACAAAAGCAGCAGCAGCAGCAGGAGGCGCAACTACAGCAACAGGAGGCGCAACTTCAGCAGCAGCAGCAGATCGAAGCTACCGATACACAGCAATCGATGCCAGCCATTGCCACGGCCAAGAAAACCAAATACTATGCGGAAAAAACCTGCGACATTTGTCAACGCAAATTTGTGAATGGCAAAACACTGTCAAAGCACGTGAAGACCGTGCACAACAAGATCAAACCCTTCATCTGCAACGTCTGCGGCAAGAAGACTGCGCGGAAGGCGAGCCTAATTGTAATATATACATATATATAGGACAGAATGTATAACTTCTACAACTGTCATCTCATCCTTTTCAGATACACATGCGCCAGCATACAGGAGAGAAGCCATTGAAGTGCGAGAGCTGTAAGTTCTCCACTCGCGATCCCAGTTCGCTCTACAAGCATCGACAGCGACACAGCCTGGAGAAAAGCAGAGCCGATGTCTGATATCTAAAACTACTATATTTAAGTAAAAGTTGGATGAATTGAATTTAAATGTTCATTTATTGAGTTTACGTTTTCCATTTAATGTTAATATCATTTTAGAATCTGATATGATTTTGTTTTTTTTTTCTTTACAACATTTGAAATTTGTTTAGCTGTTTAGATTTATGTTTTTATTTGTTATTTAGTTATGTTTTTATTGAATTTTTTTAAAAATTTATTTTTAGTTTTGCTTTTGTTTTTAAGTTTTTATTTTATATATTTAAACTAGTTGTTAAGATTAAAAATCTAACCTTATATGGTCTTTGCAATTAGCGACGCTCATTTGGGTTTCCTGGCTAATGTATCCAGTATATATCTATATATCTTTGCCTCAGTCCATTTTAATGAGATCGGCGCATATAGTACATACATATATATGCCTAATTGAGTATATAACTGATTTTGTTGTTGTTGTCTAAATCAATTTTTATAAATTTGATTGCATTYAATGTAATTTGTTTAATTTAATTGAATTTAAGTTTACCGATCTTTGAGTATCATGTGTATTTATAGTATTTATATGTATGTGTGTGTGTCTGTGTATGGTTTCAATGTTTCTTTAGTTGTCAAAGTTGTTTGAAATGAGAATTTTGTTCGCGTTTTCTTTAGTAATTTTATTGTCTGCGATTTGATTTGAACATCAAAACTTTTTCATTTTGGGATCTTGTTTTCTTCTTCTTCTAATTTAATAGTTAAATGTAGTAAATGTTTGCAATGATAAATAAAACAGCGCAGTGTAAAATTGTTATATATATAGTTTCTATTTGCTTTCTATTTTGCTTATTTACAATACTTAAAGTTGTTTGGAAATATTGGATTTAAGATCGTATTCTCACTGATCTCCCACACTCCCTCTCTCTCTCTCTCTCCCTCTCTGTCTCTCTCGCTCTCTCAGTTGTTGTTGTTGTTGTTGTTGTTGTTGCTGCCCAATGTTATTTTCTAGGCCTTGGTCTCAGCGACGACGACCACTTTGCTCGTTCTCATCTTGCAAAACGAATAAATTCAGCAGTAAAAAGTATATAAAATAGAGAATTATGGAATTTACATTTAGTTAGCTGCCACAAGAGCCCAGAGCCAACAAAATTACCATGCATAGAAAAGGGTATCGTGTGTGTGTGTGTGTGTGTGTGAATGGGGCGGCATTCAGGCAGTCTCTAATTGTGATTTGGTGAGCTATGAGCGCGAAGTTGTGCACAGAGATTTGATTTTTATTAGGGAGACGAAACAACAACAACGAGTTCAACAATGAGCGTGACACGATCCTAGCTGTATGATCTCAGTATATCTATATATATATCTATATATTTATATCTGTAGTTATTTACTTATTATGCTATATAATGGTTGATTGGGCTACGTCTATGAAACAACTAACGAATTTACTCTAGCTCTTCTAGTTCTATATAAATATATTTGATCTAGGCTGCAAACGTGAATCGAACCGCAGTTTGATAAAGTTCTTCTGCCAGCAACAGGATTGAGCAAACTGGTGTGAAACGAGATTTTAGCCTGGCATGCCCTTGAGGGGCGTCAATCATGAATCAGAGTTTCCTTTAGTAGATCATGAAGTAGTAAATCATGATCTTCGACTAAGATGGGCAGCTGTGCTTAAGTTTAAGCATTCGTTTGTCAGCTTATGCATAGTCGATGCATATATTATATATATGGATCATTGCTGTTTCAGACTAGGATTCTAAGTGGAATTTGTATCAGGAATTTAAATTGAATTTAGTCAAGCATGAAATGAATTTTTGGTTTTAGCTCTAAGCCTAATGAATGCATCTATTTATTAAGCATATTCATGAACTTAGAACTTGAAACCAAGGCAGTATTTGAGCTACTTGAGTGGATCGTGAAGCACTTTTGGTATACTTTTCATAACCTTTGTTGATTTGAGACGAGATTTGAATAATTTCTAGTCTGCCAATCAATTAAATAATATACAAATAAATACAATATTTGCTTAAATGGTTATAATGGCTATAAAACCAGATTTCAGAATGCCATCCTCTAGCGATGAACCTTCAGCTAGCATCAGGAAATGTTGTTTGGGTTTGCAGCTCTATTAGATATTGACATATATTATCGTTTGACTCTACGTTCCGTTGATCCAAAACGATCTTTCGACTATAATTCTTTCACTTTATTGGAAATTTACGCAGATCTTAGAATGTAAAACATTTTCACTTACTTTCTACTTGGATTAATTTTCGACTATATTTCGACTTGATTTCTTATTTATTGGATAGTTCACTTTCATTTTCACTTTGACTTTCTCTTTTGGGTTTTGTTTTTCTTAATTTTCTCTTTACTTGTGCGTCGCATAATAAATGCTGTGGTCCGTCCCATTACGGACTGACCAGAAGAACAAAATACTACGTTTTACCATCTAGATATAGGGCGAATAGCCCAGCTTGTCCCTAGCTGAGAAAGATTTCTCTGTAGTTTCGTTTGGCTAGTGTTTTCTTTTGGTTTTGCTTAGAGTCTATTAGGAAACAGTTGTATCTACATAGGTCTATGAGCATTTCTTTTCATATATATTTCGTATATATAAAAAAAACCTAGTGGAAGTAGAAAACTTTTCACTCCTTGAACTAAAAGTCTAAAGTGACGTTCGTTTTATGTACAGTGGGTGGAAAATGTATTCCGACAAACTCAGGCCTAGAAAATTGCTTATAAAACGAGTTCGMGTTCGAGTCTTATGCACATGCTATATATATATTTAATATATATGTATATAAAACCGAGTTTTAAATACGAAATAAAAATTTGTCTCATATTTATGTTTTTTTTTTCTCTGCTTCTACTTCTTCTTCCCTTTGTTTTTGATTTAAATGCATTTTAAAAACAGGTGAACGACTTTGATTACGGTATCTTTTTTGATTTCCTTATTTTGTTTTTTGTTTTTTTTTTTTTTTAATTATTTTTATATTGCCTTTTGATCGCGTTTCGTATCGAATTTTAGTTTGATTTTTTTTTGTAGTTATATTTTGAGTTTTTTTTTTTTTAATTTTTTTTTTCAGTTCCGGGGCACAATTCTGCACGTTATTTGAGTCGTGTTCGATCAGACCGTGGTCACACGATCGATCTCCACGTAACGCACAGAATTGTCGCTTTGTCAGCAAATCACCTCCTTTTCATCCAGCACAGCCGTATCCATCGAGCTGAGCGACTTGAGCCGCGTCTGCAGCACCGAGGAGCCGCGCAATTTCCGTTTGATTTTTCTGTGAAATGAGAAATGGGAAAAGAGTTAG